AGGCTGCGCGGGTCCGAAAGCAGCGCCAGAGCAAAGCCAACGCACGCGCCGCTCAAACGGCGAGCGACACGCCGACGCAAAAGGCTCAGCGGCTCGCAGGCACATTTTCTGTCCGTTTACAACGTTGTTGTCTCCTCGTCCCACTTGATGTGCGTCCCTCGCCACGCTTGGCCACGTGTCCAACAATCTGCCAGCGTTTCTTGATAGTATAACCCTCGCGCCGTCGTCACAGCTACACTTGCCAACACACCTTGAGTCGGCCAATGCCACCACAGCAAGTCGTGGGAAGGGGACCGATCGATAATTTCTAATTCAACTACCTCGTTCTCGCCTTCAACGGCCACTTGCAACAACATGTCCTTCGCATTCCTCGAGCGCCTCATTGCACGAGGCGCCCGCAGGGATGTGCCCGGACCCGGCATCACGCTGGCTTTCCTGGCAGCAAGCAGCGTCAGCCTGGCCAACAGCTTCGCCGATAACACGCAAGATGCGGTCACAAACTGCATGCCCTGTAACTCACAACCTTCACATAACACAATGAGCGACGCGGAAGACACACGCTTCAGGTCTTTCGCACTTCCATCGACTCCATTGCTCAACGTTACCTCGAAGAGAGGTTTCCTACCAGCCCACTCCGCAGGAACCTAGTTACCGGTATCCCTGATGACCCAATGCTGATGACCCATCGTTCATAGGAGCATGAATGTCCCTTCATAGGAGCTAAAAGTCGATCGGACACGCACCGTCGAACCCCTTGTCATGGCTGCAGGAGAAAATACAAGTCCGTCTCTATCGTTGTATGAGCTCACTATTCCTCGTACAATTCGTGCACTGATTTGTGCACTCTGGACGTTCGACAAGGAGGATTTCTTCAAATTACACTCAGTCTCTGGTCAGGAGGTCTCATTGGTTCATGACTCTGAATCATCAGTCAGAACGGAGCTAGCGCAATGGCCAATCAACCACCACCGCATCATGCTACATGCAGCCAAAGACATGTCCGCGCTACGCTAAACATGGTACGTTGCGAAGACGCCAGAGCCCGTGTCCAACGCACGATGACACCAAAATCAGAGGAGTGGTCCGAGAACACCCTACTGCGATGCAGTTCGACTCCACATAGCGACATCGTGAGCAACTGGAGCACGTAAGGACGAGCCACAAGTGTAGCCTGCGCACTCTGATGCTTCTGGACCATAGAGTGCTCTTAACCACGACGTCAACCATGAGCTTTGGGGCAACAAGGGGAAGGGTCCGTGCAAAAACACACTCGTTGTATGCGCACGACGTACAAGCAGCGCGATGCGTCTACGCCGCGGCCGTCGTCGCGGGCTTGGCCGCCTTGGCGGGCGTCGCCGTCTTGCCTTCGAGGAGTCTAGAAACCACGTATGTGTGAGTGTCGATTGCAACACGCTTTTGCATCGTACCGCAGAACTTGCACGTCCTTCTTGAGACCGTTGATTTGCGCGAGGAGCGCATGGGACTTGTGCAAATCAAACTTCTTGTCCTTGGCCAGCGCCGAAAGCTTCTTCTCGTACGCGCGGTTCCACATGTTGGGGTACGTCGACTCGCGGCTCGTCATCGTGTGGTAAAACGACGACGCAAGGACCGCCGAGAAGCCGATGAAGTACGTGATGGGCTCCATGACGTCCCACGAGTAGACGTCCCAGACCGTGTACGCCAGGCCGCCGTAAAACTATCAATCTTTCAAGTCGAGGCACACCCATATCAACACTGTACGGTCGTGATGAAACCGAGGCCGAGGAACTTTTGTACGTTGGGCGCAGTCATCGCGGCGTTGCGGAGCTCCGTCTCAATGGTCGCCACTAGTAAATTGGCGTGGTGTCTCGACGGACCAGAAGAGAGAGTTCAAATACCCTTGCGCCACTCTTCTTGGGCATCGAGGATTTGACTCTCGGTGGCCATGCGCTCGTGCTTGAGGTTGTACAAGACCGGGTCGAGCGCGGCTTGGAACGCAGCAAAGCTCTCGCCCTTCTACAACACTCGCCCGCGTCAGCAGATCTCTCAATACAGACAGAGTATCGTACGTTGGGGCGCAGAATCACAGTCGACCGCAGCGCGTCGTCCTTGCTCTGGTCGTAGTGCAGCACGAGGTTGCGGCGCTGGAACTCGGCGAGCCATTTCTTGGACGTCGAGTCGTCGGCGCCGACGTTCTTGCACATGGTGTAAAACTGGTCGATCGGGATCGTAA